AGCAGGATATTAAATGTGAAGCAATTGCTTCATTGACCACCACCATCAGTTAACATGTTATAAAATATTATAAGGGACTCCTATATTAGTGTTTCATTATTCTAACTTCTTAAGCTTCTGCATTAGCAAGATTTCACTCACTGCAAATTAGAAAAAAATATGCATGTATGCACATCTTAAGCTTTTTGACATTTCCATGTGAAAAAAGAAAGACAAATTTTACTGGAAGTGAAACATAGGGCATGAGCAACTTGGATATGAAATTTAAAATTTAAAAGTATAACCCAGGGATTCTGGATGGTTCAGAGAGTGGTTAGTGAAATATGAAGAATTATACCTTGAACATCTGCTGTCATTTGGTTCAGGGAACCATAGTTCCTGGCAGGCATATCGAACTTCACCTAAGCAGCATAGTGCTGTGTGAGGACCTGGCAGGGTATATGACCACAGTAGACCCCCTTTGCTGTGTTTTTCAAAAACATACCATAGGGCTTCCCTGGTGGCACAGTGGTTGAGAGTACGCCTGCCGATGCAGGGGACACGGGTTCGTGCCCCGGTCCGGGAAGATCCCACATGCCGCAGAGCGGCTGGGCCCGTGAGCCATGGCCGCTGAGCCTGCGCGTCCGGAGCCTGTGCTCCGCAACGGGAGAGGCCACAACAGTGAGAGGCCCGCGTACCGCAAAAAACAAACAAAACAAAACAAAAACATACCATAGTTCTCTTAACATGGCTGAAGGTTAATAGGAGATTGTAAAATGGAGGACTCCTGGTCTAGTTCCACTCATAAAAAGACCCCTTGTATATAGTATAATGAAGATGATGGTAGGTAAGCAAATAACACTGTGGTAAGTAATTCACCTGTTTCTTCCTTAAAGTCTTCACAGTAATCCCGCTAGCAGAGACTGCTGCTCTCCCCGTTTTACGTCTGTGAAAACTGAGGCTTAGAAAAGATTAAGTAATGTGCCCATAGTCATACAACTTGTTAGTTGAGATTGAACTTCAGACCTCAGGCTCTTAACCTCTCATTCACTGCCTCTGTAACCTTAATGAAACCTGATTTGCTAGCATGCCTCTGCCATACCTGAGATCCTACAATATATGATGATTACAGTGACCTCTTCTGGCAGCTGAAGCATTGTTTTCCCCCCGGGATATTTCTAAGGTGTTCAGTTTAGTTCCATATAAGATATTAATGTTTTATAGTTAAATATCTGTTAAGTTTTAAGTGAAAGTGTTATTGTTGATTTTAAGGTTCTTGACTTATTCACTCTTACCATTTGTCCACTATAATTACTCCAGTTTATTAATAATTTTGTGAACATTTGTTAAGTACTTTTTATATTTCAAGCAGACCTACTAGCAACAACAATAAAAATGCTTTGCACTTCACAGTTTGCTTATACTTTCTACATAATCACCTATGAAAAGGGTGGTACCCATTTTATAGAGGAAGAGCCTAAAATTCAGAGATGACAAATGCCAAGAAAGCCTAGTGTCTGGAAATTGTTAATGCATGTTTGACAGTGACATGATCTGAACCCAGGTTTTTTGACTCCAAGTCCTATATAATCTCTTTCTTTCTGGGAAAGAGAAGAGAGGCAGCAGCAAAGTCTTTGAAGGACTGTTGATCATACATGAACCATCACTTAGCAAGCACCAGTTGCTGGCTTTGATTATCTAATTTAAGTTTTACTCAAAAAACTCTAGCAATGCTTTGTCATCTGCCCTCTTTCCCCACCACCTTCCCAAACACAGCCCTTTCAAACACTTGAGAACTTTTTTAAGCAGTTACATTTCTGAATATAGCCAAAACATTTAAAGAGCTGTTCTTTTTTTATAACGGAAACAAAAATGCATAGTTGAACTGAAGCAGTGGGAGTGCTTCTTGATGCCTGCATTTGCTCTTTAGGTCCAATTTAGGTTAACCACATTTCCCTTCCTAACCAGAAAAATTCTGAGCTTTTTTTTTTCCCCTTCTGCGTGTGCTTGCCATTACAGTGGCTGTTCAGAATCTGGTTTTTCTAACTTGGCCCAGGAATCATTTCAGAGACAGAGAGAGCACTGCCCCCCACATGGAGTGCCTTCAAGGTTTTCATGTTCTGACAAGATTGGGAAGCAGCCACAAGTGGAGGTCATGTGGGAAGTGAGTTGCACAACCTCCGTAGCCTGGGGCCAATTCAGTACACAAAAGAATTGCTTTGTGATTTAAAATAAGCTGCAAACCATTTCATCTCTCCAGGGATAAGAGGATACAATAGTGTTCTGTTTTCTATATGGCTACTTAATACAGTGATGGAGAAGCTGGGTAGTATAAAAATAGCTTTCTGTGGAGTAGTATCTCTGTGACTAGGGTAGATGCATTAAAGCAAATGGAGGGGAATTGTAACTGAATATGTTAGAAATCACCTTTTCCAGAAGTTTGTAATTTCCTAATCCTCCTTAAAACTATGAAAATTTATGTGACTTATGTTAGTAATACTTAACAGATTGTACGTAAATTGGGATTCAGTGTTATTTAGGAAATTCATCCTTGTTCTGTCCATTGAAAAATAACATTTTTATTTTTCCATTTGCTAGTTTGCGAACCATTTCTTCCTTGAAATAAAAATTAGCCATTGTGCTTTCTTTAGTGTTTATATCTCCCTTCACTTTACCTGCTTTTTCTTTTTTTTGTTAGCTAATTGAAGAAAGAAGCACATCAGATAGAAAAAATGACTTTAAATGGTCGTTTGCCATCCTAAGAGTTCCCTAGTCATTTTATTTGTATTACTGTGCATGCTAAATATTTTACATTTTAGCAAAATTTGCTTTGAATCCATAGGCCATTATATCTCAAATCTTTTTAACACAATTATCTTATTATTATAACTTGTTTTCTAATTAGAAAAGTAAATACATGTTCATTAAATAAAAATTGAAAGTACAGAAAAGGTCAAGAGGAAAATAAAAATTATTTTATATAAGCCATCCCCCAGAAATGAATCATGATTACATTCTAGTGTATTTCCTTCTAGAGTTCATTCTATATTTCTCCCATTTTTGAGTTATTATTGTACATATAATTTTTCATCCTGATTTACTCTCCAGGATAGTCATTCTGTTACTAAAAGTCTTCAAAAATATTTAATGGCTGTTTAATATTTCTTCATACTACTGTACTATAATTTACTGAACCAATCCACAGTTTTTGGACACTTACCTTGCGTTTTTTTTTTTTTTTACCAATTTAAACAATATTGTGATGAACATTTTAGTGTATATAACTTTGCTCTATTTCATACTATGTGCTAAAAAAAAATCTGAAAGTGAGATCCTTGAATTAAAAAAGTAAGAATAGGGCTTCCCTGGTGGCGCAGTGGTTGAGAGTCCGCCTGCCGATGCAGGAGACACAGGTTCGTTCTCCGGGCCGGGAAGATCCCACATGCCGCGGAGCGGTTGGGCCCATGAGCCATGGCCGCTGAGCCTGCGCTTCCGGAGCCTGTGCTCTGCAGCGGGAGAGGCCACAGCAGTGAGAGGCCCGCGTACCGCAAAAAATAAAAAAAATAATTTTTTTAAAGTAAGAATATTTTCAATATATCCCTATGCAGAAAAGGACTACTGTCCTTAGAAAAACTGCTTGTAAGGTTGGCCCTTGGATTTTAGGGATGTTTCCACCATTCTCTAACTGACAAGGGCAGTTCACTGTACCTAAATTGTCTGTGCAAATAATGTTATTTATACTGATCACCTGCTTTCCTTCTGGGAGTCTGGAATTTTGGTACATGCTAAGCAGAAGTTGCCTACATCACCAATTCCAACAAAAACTCTGAAAACTGAGCCTCCAGTGAATATCCCTGCTAGACAGCATTTCACATATGTTCTCATACATGGTAATTCTTGGAGGAATTTATCACATCCTGTGTGACTCCACTGGTAGAGGAAGGATTCTTAGAAGCTTACACCTGGTTTCCTCCAGACTTCATCTCTGCATCTTTTTCCTTTGCTGGTTTTACTTTGTATCCTTTTGCTGTAATAAACTACACCTGTGAGTTCAACTATATGCTAAGTCCTGTGTATCCTCCTCACAAACCATCAAACCTGGGGGTGATCTTGGGGATCCCAACATACTCTTTTTCTGATTTTTTATTGTTTATTTCCCATCCACTCCTGCTCCCTCCTTAGGAATCTAATCAAGGTACTCTGTAAGGCATGTGTCTTCTACTCATGTTGGTGTTGAGATGGATAACAGCAGGCTTCTTCCCTATTTTCAGAGGTTCTGCTCATGTTAGCTTGGTCCCAGTCTCAGGAAAGTCAGAGGGTTTTAAAGAGAATCCAGTTGTCCTGGAAAAGAACTGATTTTAACAGAGTCACTGAAATTGTGAAGATCCATTCTATTTTTTTCTA